GACCCTGTGCCAAATACATAAAATTAAAATTAAAAAAAAAAAAAAACACCACCAACAAGAAAAAATCCCACAAATCTTTTTCCTTCATTTATTTCCAAACTTTATTCACTGACTACTATCTCATTGTCTTAGGATCATATTTTAGCTTGCAATCATTTCCCTCCCAATACACATCATCCTTCTCTATTTTACTGTATTACACTGAATAGTATCTGGAAATGGTGAACAGAAGTACCTTTTTTTTCTGTTTTCTCATCTCTTCTTTAAAAGAGCAGCTCTTTGATGGAGTCTTTTTTTGTCTGCTCCAATAATATCTTTACATTTACACCTAGAAAAGAGTCTTGTACAACCAGAATATGAGAAATGATGCCCCAAACCGCTCAAGGCAAAATTAATGAAGAATCAATAACATGTATTCTCATTCATATCAGTGTTATATCCTGAGTATTATAAGGGATTTAAATGAAAGGACCCACGTAGCCTAATATCATAATGAAAGTTGTGTAGAAATGTTTTGAACTTTGCGCTGTTTTGGCAACACTCTCTGAGCAGCTTCCCCATTTGCTGTTCTTCACAAGCTTTCTACTTATCACCCTTGAACATCTGTGCTGTTCCTTAAGGAAAAATAATTAAAGAGCTTTAAAATTTCAAGCATTGCATACATGTGTGTTTGAGCTTACAGCCATCTCGGTCTTAAAAACTCCTTCAATTAACCCCTCCCCTGTTTTGTTATTAATATTTCAACTGATATATGTGTGATTTCATTCTACTTAAGTCTGCCTATATTTCAAAACTGTTTCTGACAGCAATAAAAACTCTTGATAGTTAATTTGGAAAGTTTCCACTGAATCATAAGATAAGAAAAAAATATTTACATTAAGGACATGATCTATTTTTTCAGAAATATCTGAGCATTTGTTTAACTTAGAATTTTAGGAAGTATTCCACAATCTATTGCAAACAAAAGAGGCAACATGAGTTACTCAGGAAAAACATGGAAGAATGATTCCTCAATGAAGTGGAAAATACTGATTTCGCTAAATGGGTATTAAAGGAATTTGCCTTTCATGACATTCTAAGCCAGAAAGCTTAAGGACATTTAAGAAAGCTGAAAACGAATACAAGAAAATGCCAGAACAAGATTTGGTGTCAAGATGACTGTGAGGAATTTGGAACAAAAATCTATGTTATCAGTAACAATTTAACGATATATAATAATGACATCATTTGAGAACCAAGGAAATTCTCACTCATTTTTCATATCCATAATAGGATTTCATAAAACAGTAAGATACTTGTTTCAAAATTCTTGCTTTCTAAGTGCAGTAATTTGTTAATGTTGTCTGACCGAGAGTGATTACATCAAACTGTCTAAGGCAAGCAAAGTTTGAAGTCGTAATTTGGGAAGATGCAATGAATTTGAGATTCCTGGACAAATAAAAAGGCAAATTCAGATATAAAATATCTGTCAACCCTCTAGTCAATGCTTCCTTTTATGAATTTCTTTTTAAGTTCTGCCTGCTTTACTTATTTTGTGCTCAAGTGCATGTCAAATGCTTAGACAAAGTTTTACTACATTTAGACAACAAGTCTGAACCATACATCTAAGTCATCTTTTTATATAGAGGGAATTAATGCTGAGAGACATGAGAAAATCAAAGTAAACGGTGTTAATCTGGAGAGAGCAGTGGAGCAAGTCCTCTGGAGAGCTGAGAAGGGGTTCAAGGAGGGACACGCGATGCTTTTTGGACTTTAGTGGGGATGGTAAATACTTCAGCTCTTTTGCCTATT